GGGTTGGGGGGGGGGGGGGGGGGGGGGGTTGAAACCTCTCAGCAAAATAGACATAGTAGGAAATGTCTCAATCACGCACTCACTTACCTTGGAGACCACGGGGAGGTCCCACTTCACCCCGTCTCTCGGTACGGCAGCACTTTGCAAGCACGTGGACCGTGCCCCGCCCATGCTGCCCCACAGACACCTCTGGACGCAGTGGAGCCTGCAATATCTCCATAACATCGGTCTTGGCGCGCTTGACTTGCGCCCTTCGGTGTGACAATACATTCACTCCGTGACGCGCCAGAACGGCGTGACGCCTTGTTGCCTCCGTGTGTCGTCCTTCGTCCTCATCCCACAAGTAAACGGCGGCACGGGCAGCCTGGGCTGGGCTGCGAAGCCTGTCAGCTACGGATCGGGAAATGGCACACGACTCGTCAACACCGTCCCCGGTCTCTGTGTTCAACAGGAAGAAATGCCGCTCCTTCGCCACACTCGACGACAACAGTGGTGGACGGCTAAGCGGCGCGATAACAAGCACTTGCTGAAAGGGTGCTTCAGGCGGCGGTCCGTGCTGAAGCCAACTCAATATATCTGATGCATCATTAGCACGAGTACAGATTCGGTCCTCTGATGTCGGCTCCAACAGCAAGAGCACTGCGCTTAGCGTAAGGACCAGTTTACACGTAGCTGCCGCTGACTCCCCTGTATTGGTGTCATCAGCCAGAGTCTTGCAGCTTGATGCGACCTCTCGCAGTCGCTGAGAAAGGTTTCGCTTCAAGTCAAATGAGCACCGCAGGGTAGAGGCTCCAAGAACCACAATTGCCTCTTTATGGGCACGATCCGCAGTTATGCGGTTAGAGCATGCCTGGGCAATGTCATCTGCAGCTACAGTGGTGACTGCAAAGTGAAGCACGACACTCAGCAATCTGTCTACGAGAGTGCACATTGCGTGGTCCACAGTGCCACCGTTCCATGGCTGACTGTACAAGAGCTGCAGCATAATGGCCGCCTCAGGTTGGGAAACAGGGTTCTTAAGGGAAGCGTTCACCATCCGCTCTATTGCTGGCACCACAACGCCCGAGAACAGGGGAAATAAATAGTAGTATGGTTGTATCTCCGAACTGGTCAGCATCCCCCACAGGAGCATTCGATGACGCAGGTGGGCAGCAGCCAACCATTCACCCTTACTTGCACCCATGACCGTCGCATTAGACTCTTCCTGTGCACACACTGGCACGCTAGAGCAGGGATCGGCCAGTAGTGCAGTGTAAAGCCAGAGCGCACCGCACACAATACCCTTCTCGCCAAGTGCTGAAAAACGGTCCATCATATCTGTTGCATTTGCCGTCAGTATCCCATTGCGTGAAAAAAGCTCCTTCAAGTACAAAAGCATGCGATTGGGTGTGCATTCACTAGGCCGGAAGGCAGCGCTAGCAGTCACTGCTGCGGCTGTGATGGCCACAGCCAGATGCAGATGGCACATTTGGCACTCCGGTGTTATGGAGTCGAACAGAGACGATGTCGCGCTTACAGCAGATGCAAGATATTCTCGCTGCCTTATAAGCGACTCCAGTGGTGGGATCGCCACAAAGGGTACCACGGCGCCCTCCGTGAGGCCCCCAATTTCCATAAGATAACTCTCAATGGCAAGGACGGCGCATGCCGAATATGTCGTTCGCTGATACGCCGAAGGCTGAGATGGAAGTGTTTCCCGAGCTATGGTTACAACACGCAGTACCTCGCGCTGGAGGTAAAACAGGGATTCCAAGCTCCCTTCGTCTTGTTCACGGCGACAGTATCGCCGGATCTCCACACCCATGTGTGAGAGGAGCTCTACCGCCATTGAAGCGATGTCGTCCCATTCACACCCCAAACGCAGACTATCGAACAGTCGAAGCGCCTCCTTCACAGCAGACGACGACGACGAC